TGTGTGCGGAGGGGGGTGTGGGGGGGGGGGGGGGGTGTTGTCTGTGGAGACCCAGAACCAGGGCAAGTGCCCGTGTGAGGGGTAGTGCAGAGGGACCCTGGCTGGTGCCCTGGTGCCCGGCTGTCCCAGGTACCTGGCTGCCTGCAGGTTCCTGCACCGCTCCAGCCAGCCCGTGCCCGTGCCCATGCCCATGCCCTGGCACGGCTTTGGGAGACTCCTGCCAGCTGTACCATCCCCACGGCCCTGGGAGGCTGGGTGGAGGTGTGAGCACAGGGGGTCCTGCCCTGCCACAGCCGCAGCACCCAGCGGGGGTGCCAGGCCCTGCCCCGGTGGTGATGGCCCCATACCCACAGATTGGCAGCAAGGGCAGCAGCTGAGGCAGGTGCGAGAGGAGATGGTGAAGTGTCAGAAGGATGCCCAGGTCTTTCAGAAGCACCTGAACACGCTTGCAAGAGCCCTGGCCCACGTGCAAGCCTGCCAGGTCACAGGTACCCCGGGAGGGGCAAAGCAGGGAGTGGGGCACCCCCAAGGTGGGAAGTTTGGGCAGGATGGCCCTTCCCTCCCATGCTGCACTGGGCCCAGGCCCTGTGGGGATCAGGCAGGGGCACTGCTGTGGCAGCTCCCCTGCATCTTTCATCCTCCCCTCCCCTGCTGCCCCGTGGCCTGGGCACTGCCTGGCTCCCACCGTGTCTGCCCCAGCACTGCTCTGTGGGCAGAGGCGATGGCTCCTGGAAGGGCCACGTCCCTGGGGCTCTGTGGCACCCCCAGCACAGCGGGGGCACAGGGTGGGAACGTGGATGTGAGCTGCTGTCTGTGCCCAGACTGCTGCCCAGAGACCTGGGTGCTGCAGTGCGGGAAGTGCCTGTTCCTCTCCAAAGAGAAGAAGACGTGGTGGGAAAGTCTAGCAGCTTGTGCAGGGGAATCCTCCCGGCTCCTTGTCTTCCAGGACTGGGACCACATGGCTATGCTGGTACGGGGCCGCAGCGCTTGGGGCTCAGTGGGGAGGCCCTGTGCCTAGTGGGGAGAGGGAGGATAGAGCAGGGAGTGGGGAGGAGGCAGGGAGGTCAGAAAGGTGTGCGCCGGAGGAGCCAGGGACTCCATCCCGGTGCGGGGGAGAGGGGCTGGGCAGGGCCTGGCGGGTGGAGGCAATGCGAGGGGGTGCCTGGGGCAGCTGGAGGGAGGAAATGGACTGGAGCAGAGGAAAAAAGGCTGGAAACCTCCTGCCAGATCAGAGGCCTCAGAGGTTGGAGTAGCCAACAGCCTTTCTCCTGCCCCTTCCTGGTCCTGAGGGCTGCCCCCAGCACCTGGGGCCCCTCTGGGAGCTGTACTTGGGCAGTGGGGTCTCCCTGGCCTGGGGCCATTTTACAGCTGTCATGACCTCCCAGACATTTCCTGCTCACAAAGATGCCCCGCACTGGATTGGACTCAGATTCAGACGGGACTCCAAGTCACACACGCAGCAGTGGCACTGGGAGGACGGCACCCTGTACAACTCGTAAGCTGGCACCGAGCTCCTTGCCTAGAAACTCTGCACCCCCTTCCCAAGCACCAGCGCCGGGGTGCGGGGAGCTCCCTGTCAGCACACTGCAGCGCGGGCTGTGACGGGGGCTCTGGCTGGGCCCTGGTACAAGGCCAGACTGGACGTGGGCTCCCAGCCGGGGAGGAGCCGGCGCTGAGGCTGCAGCCAGGCGGGCAGGGCCCGGAGGGGGTGGGAAGGTCTGGGGCCCTGACCCAGCTCGTGTCATTGCAGGTCTGGGATCGAGACACCTCGTGGTCGTTTTGGAACAATAAAAGGGAGCAGAATAGAGACAAAAGGCCGGCTTACTGACAAGCACTACTGGGTCTGTGAGAAGCTGTCAGCTGCCCCCACGAAGCCAACCCCAGGGCATGAATGCAGGGATGCTTCTGTGAGTACAAGAGCACGTGCCCACAGCATCGCAGAGCCAGGGACTCGTGTCCCCTTCTCTCCTCATCGGCTGGATCCTGCAACCCCACATGTGGGGCTGGGGCTAGCTCTGCCTGCCCCACTCACCCTGCTTCTTGCCTTCAGGTCAGGACGCTCCAAGGACCGGTGCCAGCACGATCCCTCCCAGCACCAAGGGCTCAGCACTCCCCAAACCATCCAGCAGACAGGCCCTAGCAGGGCATTAGGGGATGTGACTGGGATCTCCAAGCTACGCCAGACCCCTGATGCAGCCAGACAAGGCAGCGCCTCTGACCTGCCCCCAGCACAATTGTGAGTGCGGGGGGCTCAGGGTCCCCCTCCTTTCCCAGCAGCGGGCTCAGCAGAGCAGTGATGCACCACATGCACGTGTGGGCTCCAGCTCTGCGGGTCGCAGCTCCAGCTCTCCTTCTTATCTGCTCCATGTGGCATGGCCACTGCCCCGGTCTGGGCCCATGGGCTGTACGCATGATGCCCATGCACAGACCCGGGCAGTGGGGCTGGAGGGAACCTCCCACCCTGCAGTGTCTGCACCCTGCATCCTTCTCCTCCGGGCAACCCTGCACCAACCCCACCTTCCTCTGGCTGCAGCCCCCTCCCCACAGCAGCCCACACTGCCTCAGAGCCAGCAGACAGAGCCCTGTTCCCTGATCCTGGCCGCTCTCCCTCTCACACACACCCAGCCAGGGCAGGAGGGGCTCCTGCAGGCAGCCAGGGAGTCCTGGCAGCCCCAGGGTCACTACCGACATGGGGCCAGGCACTGGCCTAGGCACCGGCCCTGTGCATCATGCAGATCAGGGAGCTGGCCCCGCACCAAGCCTGTGAGTGCCCCCCGTCCCATCCCCGCTGAGCTTCATGCTGGGGACCTCTTTGTGCCACAGGCACAGGCCAGGCAGGACGCATTACAGGACAGGCAGGTTTATTCAACACTGTAAAGAAGCCAGGATATATATTACTGCCATTCGTGCTGCTCACGCTCATGGTCATATTATTAAACCCCAGAGATTGCATTCACCAGTGCAATGTGTGTGGGGAAGGGAGCGCCGGGGCAGGGGCACCCCCAGCCACCCTATTGCACACAGGCCACCCCCAGTAGCTGGTCCGTCACCGGGACCCCCACACCTCTGACGTCCCCACCCCTCATCTGTGCACAACCGTCCCACTGCCCCGGGCAAAGCAGGGCAGGCCCGATGAACCCACCCCCCCCACAAGACCACCCCCCACCCCCAGCTCTAGCCCCCGGCCCGATCCAGGCCCCCGGGCACTGGCTTCCTAGCTGGTGAGTGAGGCCAGCCAATGCTGGATGGGCAGAGCCCACACCCCAGCCTGTCGCCTCAGAGGTGAGGCATGAGGTCCCCCCAGAAAGGGGCATGGCCCAGTGCCCCCGGTTGGGGGAAACCAGTACCCAGCCTCTCCTGTCTGGACAGTGCTGAGGCAGCCGTGTTATTGCACTTGCGCCCGGGGCCGTGGCCATGGGGCACTGCCAGCACCTGATACACTCGTCCCGGGCACTGGACCGCAGCACTGTGCTTCCTGGGCACCGGGGCTCGCTGGTGAGTCAGGGCCAAGCTGCCGCCTCCCTGGCACGTCTGCCCTGCTGGTTGCACCCCAAATGGTGCTGCTTGCCAAGATGAGCCCAGGCCCACATGTCACTCACTGTGCGGGGCATGTTGGGCAGGGAGATGACAGGCGAGGGTTTTGGCAGGTCAGCGCAGGCTCCAGACCTGGCCGCGGCCATTGTGCCCAGGACTAGGACTGTGCCTCGGGCAACTTCAGGCTGGGCTCGGCTAGCACCAGCCCCGGGGGCTTGTGGTGGCGGCCCCGGTCCTGGCACAGCAGGCTCTTGGCCTCGCAGTTGAGGTTCTGGTAGCGTGGCGGGCTGGGCGCGGGCCGCTGGCACACGGAGGCCAGGCTGAAGCTGAAGGGACCCAGGCAGCAGCCGGGACAGGCCAGCACCTCATCCTGCTCCAGCCCCGCACCGCTGTGCTCCGTCCGCTCGAAGGTGCCCGCAGGTGGCACGCTCAGCTCCGAGAAGCCGTGCTCCAGACCCCGGCCCCAGGCATGGGGCTTGCTCACCACCACGTGGTTGTTGTTGAACCGCAGCCCGTTGGGTGGCAGGGCCTCCGGGGCCCAGGGCCTCGCGTCCGTGGCTGCCGTGCGAATGAAGTTGCTGTTGGCCGGCACTGGAGCCGGTGGTGGCCCATGCTGTGGGTCAGGGCTGTCGGGGCTGCAGTCCATCAGTTCCACTCCCACAGGGTTGGGCAGTGCTGAGCGGCCCCCCAGCTCCGGTGCCTGCCCCCAGCGCAGTGGTGGGAGAAGCGGGGGGGGCGCAGGGGCCTCCACAGGGCACAGAGCTGGTGGCTGGTGGGAGGCAGAGTCTGACTCAACACCCAGGGCCAGCCCAGCGTGTCGTGGCAGCTCGGGGGAGGCGGGCAGTGAGTGGCACCTGCGGGTGAGCACCACGGGGGCCGAGAAGTCACAGTGCGCCTCCACCGTGGGCTCGGGCGTCACGGGGCTGCCGGGCGAGAAGGCGGCGGGGGGTGGCAGGTCGAAGGACAGAGAGATGACCGACTTGCTGGGCGTGTCAAACAGCTTGGTCTTGCCTCCCTTGAGGTCCTCACGTTGGGAGAAGGGGTTGAGGCGGGGCGGTGTTTCTCTAGTGCGTGCATCCACCTCGGGCTGCAGAGGCCGCCGCGAGCCAGGGGAGCGTGGTGGGAACATGTCTGACTGGCTGCGGGAGAGGCGGTAGTCGGGTGGCGGCAGCAGCCACGGGCTGGGCTCGCACCGGGGCAGTGGTTCGACACGGATGGGAGCAGGCGCAGCATCCCCTGGGTGCAAGCAGAGATGGCAGGTCAGTGACTCCAGCCACAAATGTCCTTACAGCCTGCCAGGCATGGCTGCAGTCCCCACTCCCCCAGGGTCACAGACAACAGCCTCTGGCCCAAGGAATGAGAGTTTGCCATGTCTGCCCCGGCCAGAGTACTGCACCATGCAGCCTGGGACCATGCAGGCCCTGATGA